AAACTAATAAAAATATTTTCTGTTTCTCTCTTTGTTTTTTCTTGCGCTTTTTAGGCCCAGCAAAGAAGAAGGTAAATTACATTAGGTATACTTTTACTTGGTATGCTTTCGTTGCGCCTTGAATCCTTTGGAATTCCAATGGAAATTATGAAGAAAAGATGAGGAATTGTTGGGGATTTGGCTCCCTTGCTGTTTTTATTTATTCTTCTTTTGGTGTTGGATGTTGTTTGGCTTCCTCACCCTTTTTTTTTGGCGCAATTAATAAATGGGGTGTGTGGCTGATGGCCGTCGTTCCTTTCCCTCGGTGGAATTTCAAAAGGGGTGATGCCATGATGATTTCAACATGAATTGTTCAAGGAGTGTGGGGAATGCATCCCATTCTCCTTCACAGTGCCGCTCTTTATTGTTGGGCGTGGTGTGCGGGACGGTGACCCGGCAGATCGGACCCCCAGCAAACAATAAAAAAAAGGATAAATGGAGAAAACCAAAACAATACGAAAAGCATGGGGTTTGGGAATTGGGCATTGTGAAATAAATGAAAATAAACGCGCAAAAAACACAAAACGGACACGCACCTCGCGGTCCCCAACGGCAAAGGAACTTCCCAACGACACGCGTGATGGGCAGTGGGCTTTCCCACGAGCGTGGCTCTTTGGAACAAGAGCGTCAGAGGGGAATTGTTTTCTGTTAAGGGTGATGTGGATTTTGAGTGGGAAAATTTGTAGAGGGAAACAATTATTGTAATTCATTTGTTTTATATATGAACTCTGAAAGGGCAAGCGGGTATGATCGCATTTAGTTTGCTGCAACGCTAATGTCTATCTCTTGCTCTCATGTTTTTTCTGTATTGCCACACAAACTGATAGTCTGAGTGTTTGCTTCGGTTGCTTCTCGTTTTTGATTCAGTCGAGATCGTTATTTTTGCGCCCTCCCACCTCATCCCTGTAGATTTTTTTATTTTTATTTTATTTTTTTCCATCCAGTGAGCCGGCATGCGCTGCTGGAGTATCCCGAAGCCGTGGGCGCAGTCTTTACCACGTTGTCTTCCGGCCGCCGATCATGAGACTGTCCTTCACCTCATACAAATGAGCTGAAAC